TTCCAGCTGGGAGAACCAGGCAGGGGGTGGGTGGCTGGGGCAGGGTATGCCCCCAGGAGCTCCATCTCCTTCATGGGCACTGTGCATGGCAGAGCATTCCCAGCAACTCCCACAGCACCTCACCTTGCTGGCATAGTACAGGTACATAGGGGCCTCTGTCACTCTGAGGCACAGCCCAAAGCTCAGTTTGGTGGAGATGTTGATGACTGTGGCCCTGCTGCAGCTCAGCCCCTGCTTCCCCCTGCCCTTTGCCATCTGCTGGAGGGGTGGCAGAAATTTCTGATGCAAAGACACAATGCTCAGATGTGACAAGTCCCCAGCTTGTGCATAGCTAGAGTGCATGGCCAGCATCTCTTTCTGCCATGAGACTGGATCCACTGAGTTTGCTTCACTCCATGGGTGTTTCACTTGGCCATCAGGGAATGGCCTTTTGCTGGAAAAAGGCAAGAGCAAGACAGAGAACCTCTGCTCATGGACCCAGCTCAGGGTAGGGTGGTGAGATCAGGCAGAACACAGGCACAACTCAGTGTTGTGTGGGTCTGATGTGGAAAGCCTCTCTCGTGAAGCTGCCAAGCCCACCTGAGCCATGGAGCTTCTCACATGCTTCCCACACGCTGCTCCCTACTTCCTCTCCTGTAACAGTTATCCTTGGTTTATGACACCAGGTTTCCCAAGGCCAGCAGAACTTGCCAGAAAAAGCCAAGTGATTTTTGGCCTTTGGTAACCAGGGCTGGCTCCCAGCCAGGATCTACATCCTGGGGTTCAAAGACCTGGAGCAGTTGTACCTGAAACCAAGGATTGGTGTAAACCCTCAGTGGGTGGGGTGTCTGTGGAACATGTTATAAGGAAACATCAGGGAGCTAAACAAACAGCACAAACTGGAGCAGAGGGAGGAGAAGCGACATGGCAGAGCTTTGTGTGCGCTCTGTTCTGGTGACTGGGGCCAACCGTGGCATCGGCCTGGGGCTCATCCAGCATTTCCTGAGGATGCCAACCCCACCCCAGTGGGTCTTTGCAGGATGTCGGGCCCCCCAGCGAGCACAGGTGAGGCTGGGCTGGGAGGCAATGGGCTGTGCTGGGGGACAGGAGTGCTCAGTGCCAGGGTGGAGACTGGGGCAGGGAGGAGGTGTGCAAAGGGCTGGAGGTGCAGCCAGGCACTCTCAGCACAGGGCAGCGGGGCTGGGCTGGCCATGGGACTAGCTATACGTGAGGAGAACTGAGGGAGACATGGAGTGCTTCACATGCATTGGGATCAGGGCAGCTGTGCTGGGCAGGATGTGGTGCAGGGATAGAGCCAGAGCTACACAGGCTTTAACTGGCTTTTATGGCTAAGCCTTGGGTATTCCAGACTGTTGGTGTCAACATCATGACTCCTCTTGCAGGAGCTGCGGAATTTGGCATCCAAACATTCCAACCTGGTCATCGTCCCTCTTGGTAGGTTCCCTCTTGCCCCAGTTCCTCTGGTGAATGCCCAGGCATGGAGCACAGCCCTGGGAACCCCACACTGAAGGGAGCTGTGGGTGGCACATCCTTGGGGGAACACAGGGCACCCTAACCCACCACAGGAACACTGACCTCCCGCGCATTCCCTCTGCAGAAGTTGCTGACCCTGCCAGCATCAAGGCAGCTGCAGTCAGTGTTGGTGAGCGCCTGGCGGGCTCTGGGCTGAACCTCCTCATCAACAATGCTGGAATTTCCAAGATTAATTCGATTGACACAGAGACGCTGGAGGACATGACACAGGTTTACACTACCAACACAGTTGGGCCCCTGCTGCTGGGCCAGGTGAGACCCTCACCCCAGCACCAAGCTCAGTTCTTGCAAGCATCGCTTCTCATGGTCCTGGCTCTCCAAAGCTGCACTGTCTCAGCATGTCCTGGCTCTTCTCTGTGCTGAAAGGCTCGTGGTTGATGAAAAGCTCATGGAGCCACGGGCTGGATCTCCAAGGCTGGAGCCTGGCAGGCTGGGGCATTGGATGGATGAGGAGGAAGGATGCTCCAATGCTGGTGCCAATGTTTCCCACTGTGGAGGGAGCTGGTCCTCTCCCCTGTGCCATATCCATGTGTGCCCATCACTTCTTTGTCCTTGCAGTCATTCCTGCCCTTGCTGAAGAAGGCTGCCCAGGAGAGTCCAGGCTCAGGGCTGAGCTGCAGCAAGGCAGCCATCATCAACATGTCCAGCTCTGCTGGCTCTATTAAGGATGTCTACGTATGGGAACTGGCACATGTTATCTCATACCGCTGCAGCAAGGTATGTGCTGTGCCAAATATGGGTCCATCTCCATTTCTCAGCAAAGAACTCCCCAAGCACTCCACTGTCTCCTCCCTGGGTTCCTGGATCTATCTGGTCTATCCCTGATGTTCTGTCTGTTACTGCATCCCTGTCATTGGACACTGTTGTACGTGGTCCCCGGTGGGGTCTGTACATGTCCCCTTGCATCCCCCTTCCCCACCCACCACCACCCTGTCTCCCCACAGGCTGCTCTGAACATGCTTTCCAAGTGCCAGTCCTTGGCGTACCGGGAGCATGGCATCCTCTGCGTCGCTTTCCACCCTGGGTGGGTGCAAACTGACATGGGAGGCTCAGGATCATATAAGGTAAGAGATCTTCTGGCTACGGTCTGGAAGAAACTCCTTATTTGGGAATGCAAAGCTTCTGGGTATTGAACAGCCCCAGGCACTTTGGGTTCTGCGGGAGCTCCTTTGGGCAGATACCCTGGAGGCACAGGAGAGGAGGAGATGAGTGATGGGGAACCCTCCTTGCCCCATGCTGGCCTCTCCTCACTCATACCAGAAAGCCCCAAGCCTTGAGCAATGACCTGCTCCAGGGCTGGCCCAACCTGAGCACAGGACTATTTCTCCCTCTGCCTCACAGCCCCCCTTGACAGTGGATGCCAGCGTGGGAGGCATGCTGAAGGTGCTGTCCTCCCTCTCTGAGAAGGAGACTGGGACCTTCCTGGACTGGGAAGGGAAGGTCGTGCCCTGGTGAGATGCCAGTTCAGGATCCTGGCAACATGTCCCTGTGCTGCTGCTCCCTCCTGCCCCTCATCCTCAATAAAACCCTGACAAGAGACCCTGGCTCTGCCATGTACTTCCAGCTCTCGTGTCGGCCCCTTCACAGACATCCCACTCCTCATCCTGGGGTGTGGTCGTGCCCTCCAAGCCATGGCTGCCTCCAGCATCTCCACAGAGAGGCACCAGGCACTGGCCCAGAAAAGGTTGGGCCTGAGAGCTGGGTGGGGCGGGGTCTTGGCATGGTTCCGGGTTAGAGTAGCACCATTTGTTTTGACTGAGGGTGTGGTGACATGACTCTTGGGTAGTTGATGGTACTAGCCATGGTGACAGCCTGGACTGAAGAGCCTTGGCCTCAGAGTGACACTTCCCCAAGCTGCTTGATCATACCCCATTCCCCATGCCATTCTGGATCATATGTTGTCAGGGATGTCATGTGCTGTGGTCCCTCTCCCTGTCCCGGCATGTCTCCAGAGCCTCCACCGCCGTGTACATAGAGATGCAGACTTTGGAGCTGAACTTGAGGCTCCAGGACCAAGTGCCCCTGCCTTCCTTGAGAGCTGAAGCTTCAACGGGGTCCTGCTGACCCTCACCTGCACAGCCCAGTACCTTCTCTATCCCCATGTTGATTTCCACCCAGGCAGGAGGAATGGCTGCACACAAGATCCCCTTGCCCTGGAGCTCCAGAGTCATGCACCTCCCCACAATGTCCTGGGCAGCATGGAAGAGGCACAGCCCTAGCAGCATGAACTGGGGTGCAAGTGGGAAGGAGGGGGCATATTTTCCATATAGAAAATGTCTGAGGCGGTTGGAAATGGAACTTGTGCCTGGGATAAAGCATCAGCATGACACGCCTGAAAGGTTCAGTCCCATCCCAGTGTCTGTGCTTCTGCTTGGGAGAACCAGGCAAAGGGGTTGGTGGCTGGGGCAGCGGTTGCCCCCAGGAGCTCCATCTCCTTCATGGGCATTGTCCATGGCAGAGCATTCCCAGCACCTCCCACAGCACCACCTTGCTGGCAAGGTATGGGTACATGGGGGCCTCTGTCACTCCGAGGCATAGGCCAGTGGAGCCCAGTTTGGTGGAGATGTTGATGACTGTGGCCCTGCTGCAGCTCAGCCCCTGCTTCCCTGCCCCTTGCCGCCTGCTGCAGGGGTGGCCGAAATTCCTGACGCAAAGACACCAACACATTGTTCAAATGTGACAAGTCCCCAGCTTGTGCATAGCTAGAGTGCATGGCCAGCACCTGGTGATGTGCCAGGAATGCAGGTCCCTATCCTTCTGCCACTGGACAGGATCCATTGGGTTTGCTTCACTCTATCAGTGTTTCACTTGACCATTAGGGAATGGGCATTAGCTTGGAAGAGGCAAGAGCAAGGTAGAGAATCTCTGCTCATGGCCATCTGACCCATTTCAGGGGGCCTGAGAAGGGTGTGAGATCAGGCTGTTCCCAATGTTTTGTGGGTCTGATGTGGAAAGCCTCTCTCATGAAGCTGTCAAGCCCACCTGGGCCATGGAGCTTCCCACATCTCTCCCACATTCTGCTCCCTCCATTCTCACCCACAACAGCCTCACCTGACCAGGCTGGTCAGTAGCTCCTGGATAATGACACCAGGTTTCCCAAGGCCAGCAGAATTTGTGTGAAAAAGCCAAGTGATTTTTGGCCTTTGATAGCAAGGTCTGGCTCCCAACCAGGATCTATGCCCTGAAGTTCAAAGAGCTGGAGCAGTTGACCCTGGATCCAACCATGATTGGGTGGGGTTTCCATAAAACACACTGTAAGGAAAATATCAGGGAGCTGAGCAAACAACACGAACTGGAGCAGAGGGAGAAGAAACAACATGGCAGAGCTTTGTGTGCGCTCCGTTCTGGTGACTGGGGCCAACCGTGGCATCGGCCTGGGGCTCATCCAGCATTTCCTGAGGATGCCAACCCCACCCCAGTGGGTCTTTGCAGGATGTCGGGACCCCAAGGGACAGCGAGCACAGGTGAGGCTGGGCTGGGAGGCAATGGGCTGTGCTGGGGGACAGGAGTGCTCAGTGCCAGGGTGGAGATTGGAGCAGGAAGGAGGTTTGCAAAGGGCTGGAGGTGCAGCCAGGCACCCTCAGCACTGTGCACTGGGCTGGAATGGCCATGGATCCAGCTGTGCATGACATGTGCAGGGGGAACAGTGACACTTTATCAGGGATTGCTCCACATCCATTGGGTTCAGGGCAGCTGGAACAGGGTGCTGGTTGTGCTGTAGTGCAGGGATGGAGCCAGAGTGATACTCACTTTTCTGGGGAAAGGCTGAGCCTCTGCACAGCTCCATCTGCATCTCCATCTCAACAGTTTCCTCTCTTGCAGAAATAACAGAATTTGGCCTCCAAGCACCCCAGTCTAGTCATCATCCCACTTGGTAGGTGACACAAAGTTGTCTCACTTGCCCCATTTCCTCTGGTGAGTATCCTGGCACTGGACACACTCTGGGAGTCCTGTGCAGTGAGGGAGCCATGCCAAAAGCTGCTGTCTGCAGGGACATTGGGCACTGCTCTCTCTGGGGAAACACATTGGGCTCCAAGCCACTATGAGGATATGGGTGCTGACCTCCCCTTCTTTGGCTCTGCAGAAGTCACCAACCCTGCCAGCATCAAGGAGGCTGCAGCCAGAGTCAGGGAGCATCTGAGGGGCTCTGGGCTGAATGTCCTCATCAACAACGCTGGAATTGAAAAGCTGAAGTCACTTGATAATGAGACATTGAAGAATATGACCCAGATTTACACCACCAACACAACTGGACCCCTGCTACTAGGCCAAGGGAGTCCCCAGCACTGCAGGATATCTCCAGGAAGCATCCCTTCCCATGTCCTTGCCCTCCCAAAGCTGGCCATCACAGAAGGTCTGAAGGGCCTTTGGTCATGGGTCCTGTGTCTGCTCTGGGATGGTATCCAGGGGACTGTGGGCTGCCCAGGATGTGGAGGAGGGAGCTCTCACCCCAACTGAGTCCTTTCTTCACCACCAGCATTGAGCCCAACCTGCTTCCAAGGCCAGGAACAGCAAAAGCAGCTTTGGAGTCACCAAAGCACAAATTTGAAGGCATAAAATTGGGCAGGAATGTGGAGAAGAACCATGATCGGGTAGGGTGGTGTCAGAGGGGCCCTGGGGATAATGGATGAGGGGCCCAGGGACATTATGGGTTACCCAGACCTGCTTGCCTGGATCCTTCTCACAGCATCATTCAGCTTCCCATGGAGATGCCATTTGTTGTATTTTTAACTGAATCCCCCCTAAATATGTTGCAGTACACAATGCTAAAAAAGACAGTTAATTCCTCACCTCTTGTATAGCTTAGACTTAGCTGAAACTATTATAAACCTGAATTTTCTGTTCCCATTGAATGATGCCCCTGTGGCACAATCTCCCCTTGACAATGCTGTCCTTTGCAGCAGCCTCTCTCCCTGGGTGTCATCCCAGCATTTTGCTGACAATTTAGGGCCCCATTCCAGATTGCTGATGCTCCAAGCAGCAGCATCCAAGTGCATTTGTAGCCTCCTTAATCAAGCAGCATGGATTTGTTTGCTGGCCGTGCTGGGTGTCCATGCCAGGGGAGGGGACAGTGCAGACACTCTCCTCCCCGTGGTCCCGGCGTGTGGCAGGATTCCTTCTGCTGTGATCGTATAGTGGTCAGTACTCTGCGTTGTGGCCGCAGCAACCTCGGTTCGAATCCGAGTCACAGCAACACTTTTGTCAAGAGCCAGGCTGAAGGAGAGGGAGGCATTTGTGAGCAGGCTGGTTTGCAAAGATGCTGTGCCCTGGGCAGGGGCCACAAGCTTGGATGGTCTCTCTGCTTCTGAACAACCTAAGACTCATGCCAACAATGATTTCCTGACCTGTAGTCACTGCACAGGGGCTCTCCAATGAGCAGGCTTCAGTGATACTGCTGGGAAAGTACTCCAGCTTCTCCATTTTCCAGGCAAACTTGAGAATTCACCCAGCATTCTGCTTTCCCTTCTTCCCATTTTTCAGAAAAAGGACCAGAAGATGCTGTGGCTACCCTGCAGAATGAGGGGAGCTGTGAGGCAGCAGCTTGCTGCCCCAGGGTTCAGCTCCCCACTCCTGTCCTCCAGGGTACAAAGGATCTGCTACAGCAACCATCTGAAGAAGAAGGGACATCAACCTGATGAAACCCTGCTGCTGGCACACATGGCTCTTGGGAAACAGGATTTTGGTTGCAGAACTTCCAGGAATGCTTTTACAGCTTTTACAGCATGGGTGCCCATAAGGCAGGTGAAGATCTCTGGGTGCACCAGGAGGTGCTTCAGCCTGAGGAAACCTTTTAAACTGCTGCCTTTACCTTCCGGAGCTTTCAGACCATGGAGTCACTCTGTTTGCTTGGGCTTGGTGCCCTCTCCTGGCATATGTGCAGAACTCGCTCTGGACGGCGGCGTTCAATAAAGAGCTTACATAAGGCATGGCACAGGCTGGCGGTGAAGAAGACACTACCCAAGCAGTGGGTCTCAATTTATTCACCACTGTGGGTATCTGAAAGCAGCAGAGAGCTGCAGCACTCGGGCAGATGGGCTCAGGTGTCCTCAGGGCTTGTGTTTGGGAAAGGGAAGGGAGGGTTTTCTTGTTGCACAAAATAAATTTATTCTCTTTGGTACTTTGTCCAGAACAAGAACTTGAGAGGAAAAAAATCATTGTGCATTTTTTTTTTTTTAGGATTTGCAGTTTATAGGGTACTACTCACACAATTTCACACTCATCCAGCCTTCATACACTGAAAACACATTTTTTTTCCATTAGGGAAAGCTCAATAAGCATTTTCACTTCTAAAGATAACACAGAAGGAAGAGAAGGCAAATATCTGGAGAAGTTGCCCTTTAGCAGCAGCAGTTCCTGCCCCACTTTTACCCATCAGAGAAGCAGAAACACAAGGAAATACATAATTTCTCCATCTCTCTTTCCCCCCCCCCTTAAAATCAGTGTGGGGTGTAAGGCAACTAAACCTGTCTGAAGAATAATGTACTGTTCTTGAGCAACTGATGTATGTTCAGATTGAAAAATGTCAGAATCCCAAAGGGGATATTTTTCATCCAAAATGGCTTGATTTTTTGTTTAAGGAGTTTCTATTTTGCAAAAATAATCTGAAGTGTCCATACACATGTACAGTGCAATCCAGGGCTTGGCTGAGGCAGTGTCACGAGTTGCTGCTGCCTCTGCTCTCACATGAACCACCTTCCTTTAAAGCAGCACAGGGCTCTGCTGTGGTTGGAGTGTGGTTGTGGTGACAGGCAACCATGGGATGGTTGAGGCTGGAGGCACCTCTAAAGGTTGTCTGGTCCAATCTCCTGCTCCAGCAAGACCACTCAGAGTTGTCTGCCCGGGATCATGTCCTTTGGAACACAGATGGCTTTTGAACACCTTCCAGATTGGAAACTCCACAACCTCCCTGAGTAACTTCCACCAGTTGCCCTCACAGTGAAAAAGTGTCTCCTGACGTTCAGATGGAGCCTCCTGTGCCCCAGTGTGTGCCATTGCCTCTGATCTTGGCTTCCCCTCCCAGAAGAGATGCTCCAGTCCCTTTAGTACCCTCATGGAGGTCATCACACAGAAAAAGCAGTTGCCAGCAGGAACCCAGACTGAGAAAACTGCTTGAAGATGTTTGGGCATCTGATCACCCTTCAGTGAGGGACGGAGAAGGGGAGAGAGTCTCCTGCTTCTGCCCTGTGTCACAGCTGCCTCAGGAGGGACTGCCCTAGCAGGAGGAGATGCTGCTCCTGCCCACAGGCTCCTAAAGGATAAATCTATCGCCTGAACAGGGGCTTGAACCCTGGAC